CTCCTGCGTGCCCTGAGCCCCACGCTCCACCTCCAGCTTCTGCCGCCGCAGCTCCGCGTTCTCGCGGGTCACGCGCTCAATGCCCATGCGCAGCCCGCGCGCCATCTCTTCCACCTTGGAGCTCATGACCAGGGGCATGTGCTCGCACGTCCGGCGGATGGCCGTGATCTCGGGTACCATCGCGGGGAAGTGGAAGCCCAGGTTATCCAGGGAGCGGTACGTCAACGAGTCCCGCCACGCGCTCAGCGCGTCCGCCTGGAACTTGTCCTGGTCCAACGGGAGGCACAGGGCCTGCACCTTGCGCAGCTGCTCCTCGGCCACCTGCTGCTCCTGCTGCTGCCGCTCCCGTGCTTTGTCACAGGCCGCCAGCTGCTCCTCCGACTGCCGCTTTCCCGCCAGCAGGCTTTCCTTGTCCTTGGCGCACACCGCCTTCTCTTTGGCCACCTCCATTTCCAACGTCTTAGCCTTCTCGCCCAGCTTGAAGAGCAAGGCTGTGGGGAGGGGTGAGCCCAAGGTGGCCCCTGAGCTGCGTGGTCCTCATTCTCCCTCCCCTTGCCCCCACCAGGACCCGCATTTACCTTCGCAGGTCTTGTTGTTCTCCTTCACCTGTTCCCAGCACTGTTTCTCGCTCAGGATGATAGCGACCATGAACCGATGATAGTTAATGTAGGTGATCTGCAGGTGTGGACATGCAACACAGCTCAGCACCCATCCCCAGGGCTGCACACACAGTGACCGCCTCGACACCTGTAGAGTCTGAGTGACCTCCAAAAGTTTGACAAGAGCTGAGGCTGGAGCTCCACCGGTACAGTGATTGTAGCTCAGTTGGCAAAGTGCTTGCCTAGGGTGCCCTGGCTTCAAACCCCAGCCCTCACAAACCAGGTATAGCAGCTCTTACCTGTAACCTCAGCACTCTGAAGGCTGAAGTAGACAACTGCCAGGAGTTAGAGGCCAACCCCCATCACAGAGGAAGGCTGTCTTTGTTTGTTTGTTTGCTTTTTGAGATGGAGTCAGTAGTCCTGGCTGTCCTGAGGCTCTATACAAACCAGGCTGCCCTCCAAACTCACAGAGATCCTCCTGCCTCTGCCTCCCAAGTTCTAGGGTTAAAGGTGAGTGCTACGATGCTGGGAAAGACTCTTAAACAAATACAGAGGCTGGAACTGGGTTTCAGGTGCTAGAGTACTAGAGAGAGCCCTGGGTTTTGTGCCTACCATCACATAAGCAAGATGGTGTGTGCCTGTCATTCCAGATAGGAGAATACCATAAATTCAAGATCATCCTGGGTTACCTATCAAGAGTTTAAAACAAAACCAAAGAAGAGATGAGACACAAAGTGGATGGTTCGGGGGATCGTGGCAGAAAATCACATTTCTTTGTCCTTTGGGGAGGTGGGGGAAGAAGGCAGAAATCACTAGGGTTTTACTCAGGGTCCACCATGGGAAGGCAGCTTGCCAAGGAACCCCAGTGTCCTAGGATAGCCATGCAGCCCAGGCTGGAGATTTAGCAATGTAGATCTAGGGCTAGGGTGTGGTTATAGTGTTCCCACTTGGCTGATGTGGTTATAATGTTCACACTTAGCAAGGAGGAGGCTCTGGGTCAGGGTCAAGCTCCAGGAGCCGTAAATAAATTAAGTGAAAATTAAAACCCAGAAACCTGGGCACCATTTTCTCCAACAAGGAAGTGTGGGAGACCTGGTGGGTTTAAGTGTGTCTGCAGTGATCTTGGTGTGTGTGTGTCTGCAGTGATCTTGGTGTGTGTGTCTGCAATGATCTAGATGTAAGTGTGTCTGCAATATCTGCCCACCCAGAGGGAGGGGACAGTAAGCACTTAGAAAGCCCAAGAGGCCAGGGCAGCTCTGCCTGATGGTTTGGACTTCAAGGCTCCTACCCTGTCAGGCTAGATCTGTCACCATGGTCAGAGGGAGGAGACCCCCTCTATCTGGGGCAACCTAGGACCCTGTCCTCTGCAGGGGAATCCTAGCTTCACCCCTAATTTGATGGCTGCCAGCACCCCTGCTGTTGGGCCAGAAGCTGCCCCAGCCTGCATTGTCCTGTCCTGTCCTCTTTGTGGCCTAGGGAGGTGTCATGTGAACATAGTTGGGTGTATCTGACACGCTGTGTGGAGAAAGCTGTCTCCAGCATCTCAGTTCTGTGACCATTCCAGGACAAAGTGGGCTCAGCCCACCTGGGAAAGCCTGGACCCCTCTCTCTCCTTCCCTTTCTACCCCCCCTTTCTCAGTGTCTCCCTCCCTCTCAGTATTTCTGTCTCCTCTCTCTCCTTTCCCCCCTCTTTCTCCCTCTCCCCTCCTCTGTTTGTCTCTCTCTCCCCTGTCTCTGTGTTTCTGTCTCCATGTCTCCTTCTCCCTCTCAGTATCTCTCTCTCCTCTCTCTTCTCTCTGTCTCTGTCTCCCTCCCTCTCTAGGCTGACTTTAACTCCTGCTCCTGCTGCTTCAGCCCCCAAATTTAGGGTGACAAGTGTCTGCCACCATGCACAAGAATAGCTTTCCTTTTGACTGTGTGCTCAGCACTGGGGATGGAACACAGGACCTCACACGAGCTGGGCAAGGCTCAAGCTGAGCTCTGAGCCATGCCTGGGCTCAGTTCATTCATGTCACCCTGAGGAAAGCCAAGCTTTCTGAGCCTGTTTGCCCTGCTCTGTGATGTAGCACATGTTCTAACGAAGCTGCAAGGAGCAGACACAGGGCGGGCATGTACAGTAGCAGGACCTGTGAATGCCCAGGGTGCCCAGCTAAACCGCGACTGCAGGTAGACAATGCTGGGGTCCGCACCTGCTCCCACCCCGCTTTCATCCCGAAAGCTACTGAGAGCGTGCTCTGCCTCGGGATGGATTGGCCTAGCCATGAAATTATGAATTCCTGGTTTATCCCAAGAGAGATTTTGTTATTAAATTGAATGATCAGAGAGCGGGGCATAGTGGCTTTAATCCCAGCACTTGGGAGGTACAGGCAGGTGGATCTCTGTGAGTTTGAGGCCAACCTAGTGAGTTCCAGGACAGCTCTCTCTTTCTCTAATAATAATAATAATAATAATAATAATAATAATAATAATAATAATAATAATAATAATAATAATAATAATAATAATAATAATAATAATAAATTGAGCGGTCAGGCCTTTGAGGTGGCTTAGCAGGTAAACGCTTGCTGCTAAGCTGACATCCTGAGTTGGACCTCCAGGGCCCACGTAGTGGAATGTGTAATAAATAAGTCTAAAAATCATAGCACCTGCTCAAACCCTTTCTGGCAGGCGATGTCTGCCATTGTGAATATCACTCAGTCAAAAGATCCTCACCAGCTCCATGGGGTAACACACATCTGTCACCCCAGCACTCTGGAGGCTGAGGCAGAAGAATTGCCATGAGTGTAAGACCAGACTGTGCTCTATAGTGAGACCTTGCCAGGAGCTGGAGTTAGGGAGAGAGAAAGGCTGTCACTCAATGGTATAGCACGCACCCATAAATGAGGCATGGCGCCCCTGGGCTGTAATCCCAGAGGCAGGAGTCAGGAACTCAAGGACATCTTGGCTACACAGCGAGTTCTAGACCAGCCCGAGACCTTATTGGAAATAAAGAAGCCAGGAGTAGAGTATCCAGATTTCCTCAAATGGAATTTAGGATTTGTGGGTGCCCCGTGCTGCGGTGTAGGGCGCGCAAGCTGCCTCTTACCAGGTCGCTTTGGCACTGTCGGAAGCTGGCGTTGATGCGTTCCAGCTCACGCCGGGCACTCAGCAGCAGCTGCATGACGGCTTCCTTGGCGTGTGTGCTGATGTTCAGCTGTTTGGTCAGGTTAGCCTGCGAGGCCGACAGTCCCATCACCTGGCTGTACAGATTGTCCGCACGGATCTCAGTGGCCTTCAGGCTGGCCTCCGTGGTGACATGCACGTTGCCATAGATCATGAAAAGGACCAGGCCCAAGATGATGAGGAACTGGATGAGCGACACAAAGAGGAAGAAATAGCGCAGGTAGTACCAGCAGCCACGAGCCGCGTCCCCTGTGCGGGAGTACGGGCTGCGGTCCATGGCGAGCCCCATTCGCACAGTGTCCGCTGGGTGCACTGTTCCTCCTTGCCTGCCTGGCCAGAACTGGTCTGCGCCAAGCAGGGGGGAGTGTTTATATTACTTCTCTTAATGCTTCCTCTGCCCGGCTCCTTCCTGGCCAGGAGGAAATGGGGGCTGTGGGTTATCACAGCACACACACCCTGGCTGTTGAGGACTGGCAGTCTGGGCAGCAGTGATAGAGGGTGCGGCACCCGCTGGGTAACTGGACAGGCTTCTTCAGCCTGGCCTGACCTCAGTTTCCACCCCCACCACCACCACCACCACCACCCCGCCTTAGGCCGGCCAGGCGATGCCCTCTGAACTTGGGAACTGAGGCACAGCTGTGACAAGAGACTGGCCTGTGGCCCAGCCCTGTACTCTGTGGCAGGCTGGGTTCAAACATGCCCATGTCACTGAGGTGCCACTGGTCAAACCCCACAAAACACGGCAATCACCACAGGGCAGCTCCCAGGCACGCAACCACACACACACACACACACACACACACACACACAGGAGTTTGGGATCCAAGGCAAAGGATTGCTGCAGTGAGTTCCCCACCCAGGAGTTCCAGGGAAGTTTTCCACCACGGCACTAGTAGGTGCTCAATTAGTACACAGGAGAGCCTCACAGAGACCTGATTCTTGGGGGACACACCACCTCCCTCAAAAATTCTGCCAACACACATAGGGATTATGGCCTGGTTCAGCAATAGAGCCCCTGCCTAGAACCCCTTAGTGACCGCCTGGAGGCATAGTTCAGGGTTGGAGCCCCTGCGTAGAGTCCTCAGTGAGGCCTGGGGGCAGGACTTAGGAGTGGACCCTGCCTAGAATTCCCCAACACTATGAAAAATCCTGTGGAGTCCAATGCAGGAGAGCAGGATCTTGACGTGGGTAAAGGGGAGAGAGGCCTCTGTAAACTCTAGCAAGGGCTGAACCAATGTGTGCCTCAGTTTCCCCCTCTATGACAAAAGTGTGCTCGTTCCTATCCTGCTGTGATTTCAGGGTGCCAGGAGGTGGCAGTGAGCCTTGTTGGTAGGTGGGGTCCCATGGGAGGTTCTTGGGTCTCTGGGCCAACCTTCAGGCAAAGATGGGAGACTTCAGGGTCACAGAGAAAAAAACTTTGGGGGTGCCCCATCTCCCAAAAGCACTGGGAGATTTTTCCAGACTTCTTTACCTACTGTCCCTGCCTCACAGGAAGCGCTGACTTGTTGGGGCAAGGGACAAGGAGCTGGCTAGGTGGCAGCTATGGGGTCTGGCAGGGGGAAGGTCTCCTGGGCCCAAGAGCCTGGGAAGGGATGGGACAGAGAAGGAGCTGAACAGGAGGGTGTGGGGTTGGGAAGGAGGAAGTTCCCAGGGGCCGACAGGAAACCCTGTGTGACCTTTGGCCTTTGCAGTCACCCGGTGATTCCTGATTCTAGACCCTTCCTGGCCAGCCTCGGGGTGGGGGCAGGGGGGGACTGGGGGCTGCAGAGGGGG